TACCAATAATTCCTCTTACTCAGTCAAGCCATGCAAAAAATTTGACTTAGTTTTATCGGGAGTAATTATTTTTGATCACTTTGGTGAAAAACATAGGCCGCCATGATGATTGTGACGCATTAGTTGACCGGCATTTGTCCTTTGACCGGATGGGTCAAAAACGCCATTAACCAATCAGAATGCCGCATGGTAATGCCGCTAGAACTCAAAGTTTTCCGAATAGTTGTAATCATAAAAAATACATTGCGAAAGGAAAGCGATTGTCGTAGCACGATGTGTTGATATATGGATTTCAGATGAAAACTTCATGATGGTTTTCTAAAGAGGTGATTAGCATTTTTTAAAAGGTAAAAAAAAGTCTTGGAAGAAGAGTTTTTACATGATTCGCGATGATAAAAGTTTAAATGTATTTTACCCAATCACGCAATAAACACATTGTTTTCTCTCGAGTAGCGTAAACTGATCGCGAACTCCGCTTTGCCCATGTTATATTGGGTGGAATTGATTTTGAAAGAATTTTAGACTGCATCGAACACAGAGGTTCTAATTTTACAAAATTGACTTGTATTGTGTATAAGCCTCTACCACATCGTGCGACTAGGTCTATTGTTTACAAATTATAATCCACGACTGGCACGATGCATGTCGGTCGGTACATAATTATAATAACAATCTGACAATAGTCCTGGTCGGAAGCCTTTCCCTGGTGGTCGATAATTTTGAGTGCCGGTCGGGCCGACCAGCATGGCAAGATCCCTGATAGCTACATATTTTGTACTTTATTTTCGTAATACAGTTCACAGGATGAACAATGAAAAAAGCACTGTGGCGGTCTTTCTAATCACCGTGGCGGATCAAGACCACAGTGGTGGGCAGGGAAAGCAGCGTTAGACAGCGTTTTTTGTGTGTTAACCCGCACACAAATTGAATGCTGGGAAGAACACTGCTTGCTGTATTAAATAAAAAAATTGCGGAAAAACAATGATCAAAGACCAGGTTTTATGATTAAATCAAATTTGGGGCCAATTGTATAGGTATATTAGTGTAATGTTTTAGAACTTTTATACTCACTTTCACCATGAAAAGAAAAAAAATTAGTGAAAATAAATTCCACACAGAACACCCCAAAAATCTATTCAGTGAAAATTAATTCTGGATAAAAATAAAGTATTTTACAGTAGTGGGGAAAACACTTTTGGCTATCCTAGAAAAGTTTGTTCATCTTTCTATTTTGCAACACCTGTTAAAATCTGTTGTAATTAATTTGCACAGTATTTTAATCTTCTCACAGCCTAATTTCTTATCAAGTTAACAATTTCTAACCTCATAATGTATTTGAATGGTAATATATGCATTACATTTCCTTGTTTCAGATAATGAAAAAAAGAGAAGTTAAATTAATAAATGTTGCAGAAAGAGAGCTTTGGGAGAATGTGACTGCAGAGCTGATGTCAGATGAAGAGCATAAAGATGGTGACATCCTTGTTAAAAAAATTGAAATGGCGTGCAAAGCCATTAAATGAACTAATTGT